TCTCTATATGTGTGCATATGTGTGTCAGTGTGCTTGTCTTCTCCACCATGAATGTCTGTCTGCCCCTCAGTGGGGAAACCATGGAAGGACATTTTGGTCTGGTTTGAAGGGGACCGCTTGGTCGTGACACACATTTAGGTAGGTTACTGGTAGCTAAGTGGGTTAAAGCGCATGTCTCAGGGTACGTCTTGCTTATCTCGAGGGGAGACATTAAAATCATTTAGATGATGGAGTAGAGGAACAAAGGGGATAAATAAAGTGTGTGTGTGTGTGTCTAGTTTGTTCTAGCCAGAGTGGACATGTAAATGATGATGATAGTAAAAAAAACACTCACGAAAACAACAACCGTTTATTGCCTTCAGCTGTGGCCTTAATGTTCCGGCTGCAAACACCCTTCAACACTGTCTGATTCTATGTGGCTGGCAGAGCTACAGAGGAATTTAATATGATTTGATACTTGATGATTCATTTGTTTTGATCTATGTTTTCTGTACTGCATAGCCTGAATTGATTTTTAACTGTCTCTAGACTGTTTCTGCCCTCTTGCATTTCACCTCTCCTCTCTTGTAGGAAATTACTCCATCCAGATTTTGCTCTCACCTCCATTCTCAGGCTTTTTCTATTTGAATACTGTGGTCTTCTGATATATTTCAAACTCAGTTCCCTGTTTCAACCCCCACTTCCTCTTCTCACCGCATCCCCCCCATATTGATGCATTAGCCCCTAGGGCAAGTGTAGGGGGCATTCTCTGTGGGTGGATCTGTTTCCTGTCAGTCCAACCACTTGCTATATGACCTTGCACCTTTCATACTCTTCTTTCTTCTTCCTCAAGGCGTTTCCAATCCAGTCAGAGCATACAAAGATTTCTTCACACATGGAGAGCAGCAGTGAGGGGAAAGGATGCGATTCATAATGTATAACGCTTTAACTCACAGACGGGTCCGCCCTGGTGTAGCAGAAATGTAGTTCCATACAGACTTTCTTTTCTGTGAAATGGAGCTGAAGCTTGGCAGTGATCTGGTGCTTCGAGTGTTCAAGTGTTAAGTGGAGCGACAAAATAGAAATCTTAAATCTTGAAAATAGATATCCTTTTGTGAGTAAGACACATGTGATGCTGTTTAATGGTAGTTTGGTTTTAAGCGACATGTTGTTTATGTTTCCACTGACAAACTCCTTTTTTATGTAGTATCCAGTACAAAGCGAGCAGTGCACTTCCAGGACGTGTGTGCTGTTGAGCACTAGAGGGCAGCAGAGTACAGAGAATAAGAACAGTCTGGCTGGACCAAAGAGGACACACTGCTTATCATTTCTTTTTTCAGAAGCTCAGAACAGATGTTATACATTGTTATACATGACAGCACAGTTTGTGACAATTCCTGCAGCATAATGATTTTGCTGTGCAAGCAAAATAATAATGTAAATAAGGCTCTTGAATGACCACAGGGAAGCAGTATCTAGTTGATAGGCACTTGTGAATAACATGGGCAGGACAGTAAAAGGGCAGTTCAATTCAGGTGAAAGCTTGTCACATCAGCTGTAACCCCACAGTGACCTGTCCGGTCCACACCCCCCAGATCCTGTCTGCTTTGTCTGTTTTTGTCAGTGTATGGGGGAAACGCTACAGAGGTCAAAAAGGCCAATGACACTGATGCTGTGATTGGTCATGTTGCACCCGTGGGAGTTGCAACTCAAAACAGATAAGAGACTGACCCAAACAACATGGTCTCAGGGGCATCTGAAGAGGATTTAGAGAGTTTGGCTTCTGAACTTCTATTTTTCAATGTGACATTTATACAATACTTATATTTAAACATTTTGGAAGTCCTGATCATATTCCGGAAAGACCATTGATAGATCCAATATACCATGAGTACCGCTGTTGCTACTACTACTTCAATTATTTTCATTAAATTTTTTTAAATTAAAATTGCTCCAGAACCAAAAGTGTCAGTTTATTATCAGAGATGACTAAATAATCCTGTAAATATTAACATTTGTAGGACCAGAGCTATTATTATTTTATTTTATTTTTTTCAATTTTGCTGAAAAATGACGTAACCAATTAATTGCAGATTCTTTTTTTGTAGATCAACTGCAGATATGGATTAATCAACTAAATGTTTCAGCTATAATAGTAGCTACCACTACTACTATGGATACACACCCTAATAATGAACTGAGTTAACATTAGTATTTTTGTGACATATGTAGAACTACTTTACATAACATATTCTTAATTGTGTGTTTTTTATCAGTGCATTGGTGGTTGTTTCATTGTGCCTGTATCTGTGTGGCACAGTGCCTGGAAAACGGTGGAAAACGTCCAATAATCGTCCACTTCTAGAGTTCACCGGCCACCAGCCAACTCTGCTCTGTTGTAGTAGCTGTGATTTTTCTTTGCCTGCAAAATGCTGGTGTTTGAAATATAGGACACCTTGGCAGTGGCTTTTACTATGGCTATGGGAGGTTGCCGTCTTCTTTTGGCTATCATAGTGTGAATGGACTTTTATCAATGAATGAATTGTTAAAAAGCCATTAGCAGTGGCAGCTACTAAATGCTTTTTTTTGCACAGTGTAATTTGCCTCATAGTATTTTTATTCCATTTCCTCTTCATTCATCATGATTCCTCTTTGCATATCTCTCCTCTGACAAAGGTTTTTTTTTTTTTCAGGATAACAGTTTGTTTATCATGTGCACATATGCCATGTCTTCTCCATGCATCCACATACCCTCGTGCACATGTACCCACCCCCTGCTCCCCAATCTCTCTTCTTACCTCTCCACGCTCCTTATCCATCCATCCTGTCCTCCCCAAAGCCATCTGATTGGCCCTCGCCTAGCAACCACATGATAATTTGGCATAATGTGACACCCCCTGATGCATGATGGGGGCTGTAAGTCAGCTTCATCCCCCCTTATGCCGGTGGCTGGTGTTTGTGGTTGAAAAGAAAGAAAAATGAAGCAGAGAGGATGAATATATTTGAGCAAGAGAAAAGGGAATTTCACGCTCATATCGTTACATGACTGGTGTCCACCAGCTAAACCTGTCATCTGTCCCCTGAGGGTTGTTCTGTAGCAGCAGTGCCCGATCATCTCCTCTCTCATTCTCAGCTTTTTTCCATATGGTTCCCATTTAGTCCATACGTACAGTTGAAGGCATGACCAGATATAGTAGATTTTGTTAAAGGCAGACAGGCATGTGATGAGGCAGCCTCTCGGTATCAACAGGACCCAGCCTGGCTCATAGGTGCCTCTGACACGCAGGCAGGCAGGGAAAGAAACACAAAGATGGCCGCTGCGTGCTCTGTCTGTCTCCCGCTGCCATGTCAGACGTGAGCACGGCCGATGTGAAGGACATCCTAAATAAGACGTCTGGTGTTTTTTTTTTTTTTTTTTTTTTTTGTCTTTTTGTTCTTTTTTCTTCTCCTCTGTTTCTCTTCATTCACTTCTTCAGTTACAGAAAATCAAACAGGATCTTTTGTTGTATGCCCCTCTCTCACTTTCTGTGTAGATCTTCTTTCCTGTCTCTCTCCTCTTTCTCCTCCTCCTCCTCTTCCTCCTCCTCTTCTGTCCCTCTGTTTTCAACAAAGACCCGAGTGATTTGGTGAAACAAAAGCTCCCCTGGTTCTGTTTGACCTCTCCATCATGATGTCAATGAACCCAGATGGTGGGATGACCACACTGAGATTAGAGAGGCACAGGACTGGGATCTGAGAAATGTGTTTCTGAACTGAAAATGTATTTCTCAGATTTTTGATTTGTGCCGTCATTCAATTATTAATTAACTCATTTACTAAATCATTTATCATTTGTTGTCTGGTTGGTTCATTCACTTGCCATTCATTGAGTCACTGACTCATTCATTTTCAGGTATGAACATGAATAAATCAAGCTTGTTGTAGCACTTTAAACGATCAAACTGCCATTACTGATTATCATCCGTTGTGTGCGTGTGTGTGTGTGTGTGTGTGTGTGTGTGTGTGTGTGTGTGTGTGTGTGTGTGAGAGAGAGAGAGAGTGTGAGTGTGATCAGGATCATCCAGTCTCTCCTCCCTCCCTCTTTGCCTTCTCCCGTGTCCTTTACATGTTCTCCCCAACCTTATACTCGGCTACCTCCAGCTGGTAATGTGTGTCCGTATGTGTGTGTGATAGTAGATAGGTGGGGGGTACATAAACACACACACACGCACACACTCACCCTGCTGTTGCTCCGCGCCACCATGTCCTTTACTTTCCTTACCCGGTGCCTTTGCTTCATTCATGCACACACATCCACTCACACACAATTTCTCTTTCTCACACTGTATCTCACACGTGTATGCACATGCACATGCACACGCGCACACACACACGTCTGCATGGTGGAGCACCAGGTGAGGTAGAGCAGCTGGGAGAAAGAGAAAGAAACATTTAAGAGGACAGACCGAAACAGAGCGTGGTTTCCATGGTTACCATTCCCCTTGCACCCTCCCTCCCTCCACCTCCATTCTCTCTCTGTCTCTCTCTCTCCCTCTTTCTCAGTCTCTCCTCCCTCCCTCCACCTCTGTGCTGGTGATGCTCGTGTCTCTTTTCTCTCTATCCGGTTTGTCCTCACCTCTCCTGGGCGCGCTCCTCTCACACTGCCAGTGGATGACACACGAGGAGGAGGAGGAGGAAGAGGAGATAAGGAGAAGCTGCTGTCTCTTCTCTCCCATCTTTCCATCACTTTAAAAGAAAAAAAGAGAGAGAGAGACAGAGGGAAAGAGCAGACCAGACCAGAGCAACAACCAAAAGAAAGGACATACAGGATATACATACATACGTGAAAGAAACCCTACTCTTCTCCATTCTCCTTTTCAAGGAGGGCATTTTTCTTCCCTTTCCCCCCCTTTCCTTTTCTACCCCGATTTTTTCCTCTGAGATCCCGGTTTTGTCAATTATAGCCCCTGAACTTCTCTGGGATTTCAGGTGAGGCACGCGTGTGTAGTGTGTGGTGCTTCTTCATTTTTTTATTACCTATCATGGCTCACGCGGCCTCCCAATTGAAGAAGAATCGGGGGGAAGTGGATGTGAATGCAATAGAGGACGAGAAGGAGAAGCGGAGGAAGAGCAGGAGAGCAACGTCCCGGGAACAAAAGAGAAAGGTAACAGACGAGGGCTGGCTGGCTTGGCTGGTGGCTTCATCTGCTCCGCTCCGCCAGCATCATTGGAGCGTGACTCTGTGCGTGTCTGTGTGCATCTCAGCATCTCAGCTCGACTACCTAGATCAACTGGGCTTGGAGGTTGTCCCCTCTCACATACATACATTCATGTACATGCTCATATCTGCACATAAAGCAAGACACGTGGAGACTCGAGACATGCTGTCCATTTTAAACAGCATCTCTAACCTTGTATACTAAATGTGTATGTGTGGTGAAGCAGGTGTGTTTATTGTTGCTGTGCATGTGAACTGTTTGTGTATGTTTGTTTGTGTGTCTTCATACACATTATAGCTGAAAGTCAAAAAATAATTTCACCTGTTTATGCGTGACGATCTTAGCTACCAGTCTCTAGATGAGGTCAACGCCGTACGCATGGACACATGGAGCGTTTTGTTTTCCTGCCTCTGACTCTGTGTTTCCTAATATTGTCTGTCTTTAGCAAAACTACGTCACGCAGGGCTTCCTTCAGTCTCTGCACATTTTACCTTGTTTCAATAAGAAATTAGGTGGTCAATTGTTATGATCATTCAGCACAGAGTGTGATTTGTCAGATGTCATTCAACCATGTGGGACTTATTTCAAATAAGATGTGTGCTGGGAGTTGTGAAAGCTATGAGGTCATGTTTGTGTTAAAATGGCAAATAAGAACACTTGTTAACGAATGGGACAAACATAGGCCAAGATGGGGGAAAAAAAACAAAAACCACCTCTCACTCTCTTTTCACTTGATCATGCTTTAGGATATGTGTGTGAGTGCTTTAGTGGGTTTTTGTGGGTTCTGGCTTGTGTATGTCTGTGTATGTGTGCTTGGATGCACAGACAGCCATGTATAATGCATACACAACTGATTTATTGATGACAAAGCTTTTCATATGATGGAGAAGGAACTGAAATGCACGTGCCCCCCCCCCCCTTCCTCCCTTACATGTCAGCTCTCCACTTTGGACAGACCAGTGGGAGAAACTCATGCCAAACAAGGAGATATTTGAGTAGGATGAGCAAGTAAATTAAAAGCTACAACTGGTGGAAACAGGAACAAAAACAATGGGTTACTTGTTGTCTATCCAGTTATGTATTAAAGTAATAATAATAATTCTTCACTGTCTGAGGAGAGAGCATTCATTGCAATCGGCGTATTGAATGTGGGGAGATTTGACCGTGAGAGATCTATTCAATAACAGTGACATTTACTGTACTTTGTGCCCATGGGTGCCTGGTTTTGAATTATGCTGCTGGCAATGTTATTTGACCTTAGCATAAACAAGAATCAAGCTATCACGGCCTAATCTTTTCTCAACCAAAAAAAGAAAAGCAAAAAGATCCATAAGGTCAAGAGACTTCTACTTCTCTACAAAGTCAAGTACGTTTTAAATCTAGAAGTGATCATTACTTTTTCCTCTCCTCTGTGCTTTGTGTACATGTGTGTGAAAATGTGTCTGAGATGTTGATCTGTATAGGAGTTTTATAGTCCTTATGATGGGTCATGTTTCAGAGGAGAGGAGAGGGTTGTATTGACTGAACTGTGCACACTGCCGTCCATGAGTATAATAAGCTTTCTCTTCCGTGCCCTGTGTCCTTCCCTCTGTCCTCACACCAATCTACTCTTCTCTCCCTTCTCTGTCTTTCTAACTCTTTTTGTCCTTTTGTTTTTCTGGGTCTTTGTCTCCTCACTTTTTGGCTGATGTCTGGCTCTTGCTTCTACCTTTTAATAATACACTGTCACAAAAAACTCAGTTCAACACTAAAAGTTAATTTGTTTTTCAGTTGTTGTTTACTTGAGGGATGTGAACTTTAGGCCATCGCTGCCCATCGGTCACTCTCACTCCCTCACACGTACAGATGAACAGCAGTTTTATTTCTGAACACACACCAAGTGCTCTCTTGTCTTCATTCCTGTGGTTTCATTCCTGTGGTTTCATTCCATGGCTGCCCTTGGCCATGCGCTGTTTACCCCTGTTGGTGGCTTTCCAACTCTTTCACTCTGTCCATAACACATGTAAACAGACTGCCTGAGAAGTGTCAGAGTCATAGACACACATGACAAAATAGTGAAAAGGACTATATAAGAGATAAAAACATATTTCAGTCACAGTCAGCAACAAAGAGAAAGAACGACAGACAAAATTGAACTTGTAATTAATAAGACAATTCTCTCCATGTGTTTTTAAATGCTATGCAGCACAGCCCAAGTAATAACTGAAAAATGTCACATCCTGTTAAAGTTACACTGTCAGTTTGCCTCCATTATTCAACCTCAAACCCTTTATATCTGCCTTGTTGCTACTGTTGTAAACTGATATAGTTGTTCTGTGCAACAAACTGCTTTGAGTCACTCCTTCCAGAGCTCTACAAATGCTATATTTAGGTAAAGCATGTACAAAACTGTTAGTAGAGAACACTTGTAAAAGCCGAGTGGTGTCCTCCCACTGGTGCATTTTTTTGCATTAGTCACCAAACAGGTAGAGTTTATGTGAAACGCTGCAAAATATTCTGAGAGTTATGATTAATTTAAGGTGTATATAAATATCTAAAACACCCTTCAGTAATGTGACTTAATTTTTAAAATCAGCTTAAAGGTTTGATTGTTATTTCTGTGTTTTTGTGTAGATTCCAATCTCTGGTGTTTTGAGCATTATTGGAGTGAAGACTGGACTTTTTTTGCCATGTGTATCACAGATTGTACCTGTGAGGTCACCAGGATATAGTCTTTATATTGCAATCTCCCATCCTGTTCAGGTTTATATCAGAAATGAATATGCAGTCCATTGAAACATAGGCTGTGTCCAGAAAACCCTTCCTCATTCACACATGCACTGCTTTATAACAACACTCTATAGTTTTGTGAGCAGAAATTGCAATTCTGGTCTCATCATCTTTCACAGGTGTAGTCAGTCACACAGCAGTAATCTTCACATCTATAAAATGTCACACATTGCATTGTGGGATTGTTAGAAGAAAGTTGTGTACATGCCATGGACATCACTTTGTTTGTTCTGTTGTGGGAATCTTTCAGGACACTACATGGTGTATAAATTTCACACTCAGAATTTGGTCACTCAAGTAAACTGGTGGTGGATAGACATAGTGTACTGTATAGGGAGTGATTTTGGACACAGCCTGAGCAAACAACTGTCAAATTGTCGAAAGAGATCAACAAAGTGCACGTGAGGGTACTGAGAAATAGTTTGACATGAGGCCTGCTGCTTTTATCAGCCACCACTTAGTTCAGTGTTGGTCTAATGGAGTCCAGGGTGTCTGGGGAGGAATCCCTGCTACAGATGCCTAACAACATAGTGTAGTGTTCTCTGTGTGTGTGTGTGTGTGTGTGTGTGTGTGTGTGTGTGTGTGTGTGTGTGTGTGTTGTGTGTGTGTTTTTGTGGTGCATATTGTCAGGAAAGCAGCACAGAGGGAGATAAAGTTTCAACCTTAACACCCTGGGAGACACAGGATGTTAACCTGAGAGACTGAGAAGAGAGCACATCTCTTTGTATCTGTGTTTTTGTTTGAGTGTTGTTGCACGCATTAATGTTTCTGTGCTGTATGAGAGGTAGTGAGAAAAAAATCTAACAAGTGGAAACTCAGTAGCCGCAGTGGTCATCTGAATGGGAAACCCCTGTTACACTGTTACATAAATTCTCCAAGCTGCTTTACTTCTAATGACATTATCTAGAGCCAGGAGCCCCCAATGGATTCCCTGAGAGACAGAGAGAGAGAGAGAGAGAAAAAGAGAGAGAGAGAAAGAGAGGGAGAGCGCTAAGCAGGTTTCCTACTGCTGTGTCCCAATTTTACACACCGTTCCGGTACACAGAATGTGCGTCGGTACAGTACCTATTGTTTCTCATAGGGCTTATGTGGGCCATGTGCTCGCTTTTCTACAGTCTAATCTGATAGTGTTTTTATCTTCCAAGGAAACTCTGTGCCTGTTTGTTGTGGACCTGTGTCTTAACCACGTTGTCGTTGAAGTCGTCTCTGCCATTTTCCAAAACTGTAAGCACGATAAAACGATAAACGTTTTGAGTGCATTTAGAAAATTTTATCCACTTCATTAAAGATTCCAAAGATCACTGGCACGTCCCGCTCATCAGAGCTGAATGTCATCATCATTCATCACCATCATCACTTTTCATTAAGAGCTCTGAATCCGGATCACAGTGGTGAATCTAAAACAAGACTTTGCAATGACTGCTGGAAGGCGAATGGCAGTGTTGAAATTGGATTTCAGCCCTGTGCTGCCTTCAGAGCAAGCCCATGGCAACAGTGGCAAGGCAAGAGTCTGCCCAGCCCTAAGAGGAAAAATAAACCGTGGGGAAAAGAGCCATCAGGCTTAAGGCATGAAGGGAGGATACATAATATCATTGCACATTTTAATAGGTTTGTCACCTATTTTTCTTTATTTCTTTTCTTTCTGTCTCATTTCATTCTCTCATTTCTCTCCACTCACTTTCTGATATGGCTGAAACAAAGCCGGCACACATGTTGTTTCACTCCTCCTTCCCCCCACCTACTCCTTCACCTCCTCCCCTCCCCACTAGCCCATAAAAGATGGAGGTTAATGAATTCAGTGCTCATGCGTGCCTCAGCTAATTGCATTGGCATTGGGAACTCCTCCCAGTATTACAAAATGTTTTCGCCATCAAGATGGCCACCAATTGGATGTCTGGCAAGTGAGACTGCCAAGCTTCTGTTCCTGGAAATAATGACAACTGATGTAGCGTATATTGTGTGTTTATTACCTCAGTGGGAATATGATGTATGAAATTTGAACCAAGAGGCAGTTTGTAGTAAAATTTAAATGATTCACAATTCTTTCATGAAATCATGACCCATTTTGATACTAGTTTTGCTCTGCATTGTGTCGCCACTTACCATTCAATGTATTGACATTCACTGATTACCTCTCTATATAGTAGTTTTTGCAGATGGTTATTGTTCACTGTCTT